AACCCAAAACCCGAAACCCTGAACCCTCAACCCTACACCCTAAACCCCCCCCTCCCCTGGGTTTCAGGCACAAGGCTTGTCTAAGCCTGACCCCGCGTCAGTTTATTGGGGTCTAGGGTTTCCTAAACTCAGAACCGTACTAGCATATACAAGTACGGCCTCATGAAGGGGAGTGCCACACGTGCAGACAGGCTCATCGGCATCCACCCTACAACCTAAGCCCTAAACCCCCCGGCATCCCTTAATGCCTAAACACCAGCAGGGCCGTGGGCCTTCGTTGAGGGTGTCGCCAACCTCAAAAGCATCCGCAAGGTTTACGAATTTGGGATGTCGGAAGTGGGTTACAGGGCGTTTACGGTTTGGGGGTCTGGACCTCTTATTATATACCCCTTATATACCCCAAAAAACCCAAGGGCCCATACTTCCTCTAAAGAAGGTAAGGGACCCTCAACCCTAAACCCTAGACCAATTAAAGAAAGTAAGCGGACCAGAAAAAGGGACCATGTAACTACCCTTCTCTCCTCTACCGAGTTCCCCCGAGTACCTTGCGAAAAGGCCTGAACTCCTAAATCAACCCTAAAGCCGAAAACATCCCGAAATCCCCAAATGCTGGGGTGTACGGTTTAGGGTTTAGGGTTTAGGATTTAGGGCTTAGGGTCTAGGGTTTAGGGCTCGTCACACGAAACCCCCGAAACTGCAGCGCCGCATCTCCCTTGCGGCCAAAACGCCAGCTTGGCCACGAGCACCTCAGGCAAGGGTGTTATGCTGGGGGCGGAAGAGGGTTTAGGGCTCAAGGTTCAGTGTTCAGGGTTTGGGGTTTAGAGTTTAGGGTTTAGGGTTTAGAGTTTAGGGTTTAGGGTTTAGGGTTTAGGGTTTCGGGTTTAGGGTTTAGGGTTCAGGGTTTAGGGTTTAGGGTTTAGGGACAACTTGCCCAGGCGCGGCGATCATGAAAGGCACGATGTACGTCATGCCACCTGCCGAGCCCCACAGCCTTCGACCCTTAAGGTTTACCCTAAACCCTAAACCCTAAACCCTAAACCCTAAACCCTAAACCCTAAACCCTAAACCCTAAACCCGGGTTAGGGTTAGGGCGTACAGCTCCGAGTTCAGGACTTCAAGGGTTCAGGGGTTCGGGGCTTCGAAAATCAGAGGGGTTGGGGTCAGGGTTCAGGGTTTGGGGTTTAGGGTTTAGGGTTTAGGGTTCAGGATTCAGGGTTCAGGGTTCAGGGTTTGGGGTCTTGAGGCCCACCTGTTAACTCCAGCATGATGGCCACCAGCGAGATGGTGACGCGACAGACCTGAAGTCCAAGTTTGGAACGTGGGCTCCAGGGTCGGTTTAGGGTTTAGGGTTTAGGGTTTTGGGTTTAGGGTTTAGGGTTTAGGGCTTAGGGTTTGGGGTTTCGGGTTTGGGGTTTGGGGTTAGGGTTTAGGGTTTGCGTTTTGGGGTTTGGGGTTTAGGGTTTAGGGTTTGGGGTTTGGGGTTTGGGGTTTGGGGTTTAGGGTTTAGGGTTTAGGGTTTGGGGTTTCGGGTTTGGGGTTTGGGTTTAGGGTTTGGGGCTTGGGGTTTAGGGCTTAGGGTTTAGGGTTTAGGGTTTAGCGTTCAGGGTTTAGGGTTCCAAGCGAAAGCCCACGCTACGTACAGAAAAACTACCTTGAGGCCCTGAACTCGAAAGCAAGGGACGCCGCCCAGCACGGAGGCCGCTCCAACCATCGCGTACCTCGCTTCGCGAGGGCTCATTTCAGGTTTAGGGTTTAGGGTTTAAGGTTTAAGGTTTAGGGTTTAAGGTTTAGCGTTTAAGGTTTAGGGTTTAAGGTTCAGTACAAATAAGGGCTTCGGGCTCTGTGAGCGGCTGAGGACGGCTGAAAAGTACTGGCTTCGGGCACGAAGGCTTCAGGCTTGGGCTTATCAGCCTTAGGTGGGGTTACACGGTTTAGGGTTTAGGGTTTGGGGTTTAGGGTTTAGGGTTTAGTGTTTAGGGTTTAGGGCTTAGGAAACTAAACCCTAAACTCCTCATCCCAAACCCCCCGAGACGTCTCCGGGGCTTTGGGTTGGCCTAAGGTGAGCATCGATTGTTACGCACGCCCCCCAAAAAGCCTTCAAAACCATGAGTGTGTAAGAAGCAAGCACTATCGGCAACACTTTCTGCATTTTTTGTTAAGAGGTGGTTTTGGGAGTTGAGGGGGTTGAGGGGTTGGGCTGCATTCAGGTTTAGGGTTGGGGACGAGGTTCAGTTTAGCTGGCAGCCCGGAAGTTAGACTTCCAACTGGGAGTAAGGTCTTAGGGTTTAGGGTTAGGGTTCAGGGTTCAGGGTTCAGGGTTCAGGGTTCAGGCTTTAGGCTTTAGGGTTTAGGGTTTAGGGTTTAGGGTTTTGGGTTTAGGGTTTAGGGTTTAGGGTTTAGGGTTTGCGGAATCAGAGCGGGAGAACCGAAACCCTCCCAACAAAGGCAAAACAATGAGAAAGGTAAAGGGGGACGAGCTCACCATGAATAGATAAGGCATCGAGAAAGTATGCACGTTCTGCGTCCTATTTCGATACTCAGAAAACTACGTCAACGTGTAGAATCCTACCCGGTTCAGGATTTAGGGTTTAAGGTTTAGGGTTTAGGGTTTGGGGTTTGGGGTTTAGGGTTTAGGGTTTTGGGTTTTGGGTTTGTCTCGAACAATGAATAGAATTTGGCTCTTTCAATAGTTTTTGGGAATGGGCAGGTGGTCAGATTCAGGATTTCCTAAGGATACCAGGAGAAATCATACCACCCTAAACCCTGAACCCTAAACCTCAAGTCTCAGAACACCCCCGAGGCTTGCACACACCGGGCTCCACAGTTCGTGGGAAGAGCTGCTGCTCGTGGTTGGCCGCCTGCTGCGGCACTGTGTTGCGCTCGGCTGAGAAACCCTAAACCCGAACCTTTGGGGTGAGGGAGCCCACATCCTTAGGGGACCCTGTAAATCCCGATACCGAGAGCCTTAAGAAGGGAGGCCAGCTCCAGGCCCCAAGGCCCGAAGCTTAAGCCTGAGCTGAGCGTCCTCAAAGGCAGCTTGCTCCTAAACCCTAAACCCTAAACCCTAAACCCTAAACCCTAAACCCTAAACCCTAAACCCTAGCATGAGTCCTGAGTTTTGGTGCTAAGAACTGTAGCGTTGTGGGGGGCTTGGGCTCGGTTGTTAAAGTTTCTCAAAGCTCGAAACCCAAGATCCTTCCCTACAGACTACCTAAGGTATGGGCTTGTGAGGTTTTCGGTAGTTTTGGGTTAAGGGCTAAGGGTTAAGGGTTTTGGGTTTTGGGTTTTGGGTTTTGGGTTTGGGGTTTGGGGTTTGGGTTTGGGGTTTGGGGTTTAGGGTTTAGGGTTTCAGGTCACCTAGGAGCCCAGAAGAAGCCTTGAGACCCCAAACCCCGCGCCTGCATCAGCACACCTACCAGTCGGCCCAAAGCCGCGCCAGTGAAGAGAGAGGGCACGAAGAGGCCTACGGGGGGCTTAGGGAGTTTAAGGTTTAGGGTTTAGTGTTTAGGGTTTGGGGTTTAGGGTTTAGAGTTTAGGGTTTAGGGTTTAGGGTTTAGGGTTTAGGGCTAGGCCTGTTGAAGGTTAGGGGTTTGGAGTTGAGCGTGCAGAGTTTGGGCTTTAGGGTTTCGGGCTTATGGCGTAGGGTTTAGGGCTTAGGAGGATATGGAGTTTGGGTTTTGGGTTTAGGGTTTAGGGTTTAGGGTTTAGGGTTTAGGGTTTAGGGTTTAGGGTTTAGGGTTTAGGGTTTAGGGTTTAGAGTTTTCCTCAACCCTGAACATGCCCCTGAAAGCACCAAAGCCACTGAGACCCCAAAGCCCTTTGAACCCTCAACAGTTCACGGCGTGCAGGGTTTCATTAAAGGGTCCTGGAAGGGAGGGGGTTTCATGGGGGTAGGTACCTGGGGAACCGTACGAAAGCTTAGGGAGCCTTGCAAAGCAGTGAGCATTAGGGAACCTTGGGCTACATACCCTGAACCCTAGAAACCCTAAGTCCGAAACCCTAACTCCCTGAACCCCCCTCCCTCAAGAACCCTATACTTTAAGGTCGAGGCTTGTTGGGGTTTGGTGGTTAAGGTTGTTGGGTCCTTACGTTCGGAGAAAAGCTTTGGGGTTTCGATTTTTGGGGAGGGGGTAAACGGCAGGGTCCTCAACTCTAAACACGCCAAACCCCAAAACCCCGAAACCGAAAACAGCAAAACGTTCAATGCACTAACACCCTGAAGCCCTAACACCCTAAAGCCCAAAAAAAACCTAAAGCCCGAAAACCCTAAAGCCCAAGACCCTAAAGCCCTAGAGCGCCAAAACTCCTCTGAAGCCCCTCGAAGCCCAGAAAACCCCTAAAACCCCAAAACATCCCCAATACCCTACTAAAACCCAAAAATCCTCAGACCCCAAACCCCTAAAACCCCACCAAAACCCCCGAAACACCCGAAACCTCTACCCTAAACCCTAAACCCTAAACCCTACACCCCTCGAAGCCCGGGATTCCGGGCCTGCCGGACAGGGGACCCCAAAGGTGAGGATGGTCCTGAGAGGCTTGGGGCCCTTTGGGGCTTTGGATGGGGGTTTAGGGTTTAGGGTTTAGGGTTTAGGCTTTAGGGTTTAGGGTTTAGGGTTTAGGGTTTGGGGTTTGGAAGTTTGGAGGCTTGGAGGTTTGGAAGTTTTTGGGGCTTACGGGTTAGGGGTCTTGAGTTTTGGAGGTTTGGGGTTTGGGGTTAGCTGTTCAGGGGTGTAGGAGTTTAGGGCTTGAAGACCCTTTTTGGTCTTTCGGGCTTGGTCCTGAAGCTTTCGGGGCTTTGGGGCTTGGTTTGGTGTTTGGGGTTTGAAGATTTAGGGTTTAGGGTCATTAGGAGTTAGGGTTCAGGGTCTGGGTTCTTCCATTGAAGACAAGTACCCCCAACCACCCCCAACACCATAAATCTCAACCAGGAACCCGAAACCCAAAAACCATAAACACCCTAATCCCGTTAAACCGCTCGAACCCCAAACCCTAGAACCCTAAACCCCCGACTGCGCATTCCCTAAACCCACTCGTAAACCGCTGAACTCCTAAACACCGTAAACTCCAAGCCTTAGGGGTTTGGGGCTTAGGGTCTCAGGGTCTCAGGTTGAGGGTTTAGGGTTTAGGGCTGAGGGCTTGGGGGTTTAGGGGTTTACGGGTTTACGGGTTTTGGGATTTTGGGGGTTTTGGGGTTTAGGGGTTTAGGGGTTTTGGGGTTTTGGGGTTTTGGGGTTTTGGGGTTTAGGGGTTTTGGGGTTTGGGATGGAAAGCCCTCGTCCGTGCAAGGAAGCAAAGGCTCTGCAGGAGCCGGATCAATGCCGCCAGCGCCAGCGTCGCAAGGAGACCCTCGTGGTCGCTCGGAGCTTTTGGGGGGGGGCATCGGGCACAAAGCGTAAAGGGCTTGTGGAGCTAAGACCCTAAACCCTAACCCTAAACCCTAAACCCTAAACCCTAGGAGAACACGCGCTTCACAAAGCCATGAAAGGGGGGGTTTGATCTACGCAGCAAGAATCGAACCTTATACCCTGCTGCCCCTAACCCCCTTCCCTCCCCGGCCAAAAACCGGCATGAACCAAAGAAGACCCGAAGACCCTTATACTTAAAACCCCTCGCAGGTCCCCCAACTCTTTCAGCTGGCTCATGAGCATCTGGCGCCCCGTCTGCAGCTCCTCCTTTGGTTGCAGCGCAGATCTCTTCCTCTTGCTGCGCTGGCTGCTGGAAGCAGTTAGCCTTGCGGCCTCCCTTCTTGCCGCCTCTCCAGCCATGCACTTCCTTGTGTAGCCCCCTACCCCCTACCCCCTTAAGGGGCAACGTCTGCACATGCTGAGGATGCTTTCTGCTGCACAACCCTAAACCCTTCAACCGCCTGAACACCAGCTCTAAACCCCAAACTCTTACGCCCTGAACCCTAACCCCCAAACCCTAAACCCTAAACCCGACCCTTAAACCCCCTAATCCCTCAACCTCTAAAACCTAAACCCTAAACCCCTAATCCCTCAAACCCTAAACCCTAAAGCCCTAATCACTCAACCCCTGAACCCCAAACCCTAAACCCCAAGTCACTCAACCCCCAATTAAGCCCGAAACCCCTAAACCCCTACCACCCTATACCCACACCCCTAAACCCTAAACCCTAAACCCTAAACCCTAAACCCTACACCCCAAACCCCTAAAACGAACGAAGCTGTCGGAGACTTCGCCGGGGCGCCGCGGAGGCGTCCGCGTAGCGGTCGTCCGCGGTACAGAGTCCAAGGTGGCCCCGAAGCTGACGGCCTCCGGGGTTAGGGTTTAGGGTTTATAGGGTTTAGGGTTTAGGGTTTAGGGTTTGGGGTTTAGGGGTTTAGGGGTTTAGGGGTTTAGGGGTTTAGGGGTTTAGGGTTTAGGGTTTAGGGTTTAGGGCTTGGGGTTTAGGGATTCGGGTTTAGGGTTTAAGGTTTGGGACGTGTTAGGGTTTAGGGTATGGGGTTTGGGGTTGAGGGTTTAGGGTTTAGGCTTCAAGGTTGGGGGTTGAGGGTGTAGGCTTTAAGGTTTCGGGTTTAGGGTTTGCGGTTTAGGTTACGGATTGGGGTTGAGGGTTGAGGGTTGAGGATTGAGGGTTGAGGATTGAGGGTTGAGGGTTGAGGCTTGAGGCTTGAGGCTTGAGGGTTGAGGGCTGAGGGTTGAGGGTTGAGGGTGTAAGGGTTTCGGGTTTGGGTTTAAGGATTAGGGTTAAGGGTTTTGGGTCGCGGGGGGGGGGGGGGGGGGGGGGGGGGTTACGGATTATGGTTGGGGGTTTAGGCCTAGGGTTTGAGTTTAGGGATTGGGGTTGAGGGTTTTGGTTTTGGGTTTAGGGCTTAAGTGGGCGTAGGACAGGAATTTCAGGGGTTGAGTGCTTCGGTTTCTGTTTGGGGGCCTCAGGGGTTGTCAGAGGCTTTTGGGGGTGTTGGGTCTAGTTTTGGGGTCGTGGGTCTACTAGGTGCTAGGGGATTAGGGAGTTGAGGGTTTGGAGGTTTAGGGTTTCGGGTTTAGGGTTTAGGGTTTAGGGTTTCGGGTTGAAGGCAAATTTTCAAGGTCTGCGGGATGATGCTTGCTTTCAGGGTTGAGGGTTGCTCTTTTTGGCTGCATGCTTTGTTAGGGTCTATATATATATATATATATAGGGTTTAGGGTTCAGGGTTCAGGGTTCAGGGTTTAGGGCTTAGGGTTAAGGGTTTAGGGTTCAGGGTTTAGGGTTTTGGGTTTTGGAACGTAGAAGAAAGAATTGGAAGCTGCACCCTCGCCATACCACAAGTCAACCATCTGGAGCGGACTCCAAGAGCTCATCACCCAGGAAGATACCACGAATGCTGTACCCTGAGCGACACGGACTTCCGAAACGCGAGCAGCCCTAAACTCCTCCCTAAACCCTAAACCCTAAACCCTAAATCCTAAACCCTAAACCCTAAACCCTAAACCCTAAACCCTAAACCCTAAACCCTAAACCCTAAACCCTAAACCCTAAACCCGAAACGAAACACACCT